CTTTTTTCCAATTACAATGGAATGGTATGTATTGGTCTTTTAGTGTATTGGAAACGTTTCCAATTCCTGGGATATAGTATTTTTGGATTTGCATTAGGATAGAAAATGGAGAATTCATTCCACCGTTAAAATAAATCATTGGTACATATTACGAAGTAATGCGACAGCATTTTCACAAATTGACTCTAGATCACTTTGCCGCCTCTATGTCGTTACAATAACATTACAATAAAGAGAAATTTATCAAAGTTCACCAAAGTTATACTTCAGAATAATTGAACGCCAAATTTCTGTTGTAGGTTGAATTACATTTATGTGTACAATGATGCAGATTTTACAAACATAGTGAGCAACGAAATATGAAGAGACACATATGGAGAAATAAATTGTTCTTCAATGAGTCGCGCTTACTCAGGGAATTATAAAATTAAGGCGATCATGTCCAGAATGGACCTGGAAAAATAATGAGCGCCAAAAATTGTGTGCGTCAATGTACGCGTTTTTGTGCAGCAAACATCCTCGAATGTTTGTGGACTTAGGCAGGAAACAATATTGTTTGATAGCCATTGCAAGTGGTTTGTACCAGATTTTAGATCGTAGGACAAAACGGGAGGGTAAAACCATAGATTCGGTTGTACCCATTTGCTAGTGTCGTCGGTGATTCGTTCCTTTTATCGAATGGCGAAGATAGTCTCCGCGGCACTTGGCCTGTGCATGTGACACTACAACAACCACGTTCATCTGTCTTAACTCGCAATGTGCAAGCCACAGATACGCTTGGTATTCTCATTGCATATCAGACCCCCACTACTATGCAGAAGCGTTCTGCAATACTTCCAAAGGTGGAATCTACTCGTCGTGGAAGATATCCTTTATGTTCTCTGCTGAAACGAGTAAGATCTCTCTCATTTTTGTCAGAAATATTGTTTACAATATGACCTATTGCGATCTAGAATGGGTAGCTAGAGACGACCACACACAATGCAAGTAAACTGTTACTGAAGCTTTGTCTATGCTTATGCAGTTCTAGTCTTTTGCGAATGGATTTATTATGTATTGGGTAAAGCTAATTAGGATTAACGAATCCTCTCTATTTACAATATGCTAAGGAAAGATGACGATTTTATAACATCTACAGAAAACCCCGTTGAAGAGGGAGTACCTGAGGGGGGGCAGTCCTGCATCAAACGAATTTAAACGAAAAATACAGTAAAAGTTCTTCTATTACACTACGTAACAATTTTCGACAAGTTTTTATTTATCTTTTTTTTTGTTTTTTGCATGTTTATAGTATTTATGAATATGAAAATAGTTTTTCTATAATGTAAATATTTTGGATGTAATTAACAAATCTTCAAATTTTCTAAACAACTACTGCAATAAGATGGTTATGGAATTTAACGAATAAAAAAATTAACGTGTCACTCATTCAAATATATTAATTACAACTATACTGAATAAAGTAATATTGAAAGCATCAAAATGTACATCAAAAGTGTACTATTTTCCTCTTGTGATTTTGAGTTCGCTGCCCTTAATATCTCGCTTAATCTGCCATCAGAGCACAGTTTGAACGTCCCTGATACCTTTATTCCATAATTTGAATGTCTTGATGAAAGCGTTCACTATTTTTTCGCTTACAACTCCCAAATTTAGTCTTAAGAAATCTATATAAGATAACAAATTAGTGCATTTTCATTGAGATAGCACATCCAAGCAAAGAGTAACTTTGTGGCAAATTCTCTATCAGTTTTATTTCCCCAAAACCTTGCACTATATTTCTGAAAACATCGCAAGCATTACGTTCATCAAGAACCATTGCATACATAACATTTTATAGACTGCAGCATCAATGCAATCTAAGTTCCGGTAAAAATTTCACCTTTTATTTTGCTTTTGATAACTTGGTGAATATTTGTCTGATGAGGCTTAAAGCCACACTGTTGTTATCCAATGCTATGATAGATTATTAAACAAGCCGAAGTTTAACATGAAGTGGTGATAACCGAATCTTCTCTCTAAACACGGGGCTCATTTCTTACGGTGTGTGTACCTGGAGCAAATTGTTGTTGGCCATTCTTTTCTAATGTAATGTTGATCATGTGCCCTGCTGACCCATAGGCAGAGGAAACAATAATATTTCAAATATCCACCTTGAAGTGCAAGAAAAAATTCCAAAATTTTGAAATTACCACAAATATTTCAATTGTAATATCTATAGTTTCGTATATACTATATCATAGTGTTGTTTTGAAAAATTCATCAAGCACGTCTATGCGTCAAGCAAGCCTAAAGAGTACCTTAACATTTTCGTAAGTCTCTTTCGTATGAACTGAATGAGCTACTGAAAACTGAAGGAAACCTTTGTTCTCTACGCAAAAAGACAGCTTCATGACTTGTGGTTGACTTATCTATAACGCCATTTGTCTAGTTTATGAGGACTCTCAGTTGTTTCAAAGAGACCATTAACATCACTACAATACTAATATTTTTGTACATTTGATAGAAGCAGGCGAAATTCTTCTGTATTACCCTATGTACGAGTATACCCCATTTCGTAAACAGTATATACCACATACCATTTCGTATATACTATATCGTAGTGTTGTTTTGAAAAATTCATCAAGCACGTCTAAGCATCAAGCAAGCCTAAAGACTGAAACCAAGGCGGTTAGCCATTAATTGAATTCTCTTAAGATCATCTAATCTTTGTTAATTAACGAGCTGCGGTTCCATAGAAAATCCCTATCTGCAACTTAAATCACAGCTATTGATTGAATTTTCCATTTCTTTTTCCCATACGGTCTGTTTTGGTGGCGTTGGAATTGATAGCTATGGGGCACTGGAGTACTAAATGACGGTACGCTAGGATTGAGAATATTTTTTTCTCTTCGTGGAACATTTGTAATGTGTAATGTACACCAAACCAAAAATAACACGATGTCATGATTTGTTTCTTCCATCTGTATCCGGGGAATTGCAAATGGCATACAATGTAGATTGTCATCTGTCACAAGACTCTTGGAGAGTGTGTGAAATATCTGTCTTTAACATGTACACCGAAATAAGTAAGATATGGCTCATAGGACTTTGTGCTGAGCACGATCTTGTTTTATTTGTTTATCACCGATAAAATGTTCACAAGCATATCACAAAGAGTATGCTGACAATTTACAACCTCTGGACGCTGACATTTTTCAAGTTCAAAATTCGTACCTATGCAACTGCAGGCCTGAAATTCAGTATTAATGATGACTTGTTCAATGATGCTGGATGTTAAAACTATCTTCCTTTCTACTAATACAATTGGACTTGATATCCATACCATCTACTGCTAATATATATAAACTATTGAATTGAATTCAATTCAATTCAATTCAATATATATAAACTATGACGATTACCTCAAAAACGGAAGAAAATATAATTATGGAACAATCCATAAAATATCGAAATGTATCGACCTTTGAAAAAATGGTATTTTCATTTCCAGAATGTTCATTTTATATAATAAACATCAAGAAAGTATCCTAAACAATTTCTTGTTACATAGAATTGTGTCATAAGAGGAACTTAAATGGAGCATGCAACCCGCAAGACACATAACTCTTTAAAACCCTTTACCATCGAGCATAACTAGGAAGAGAGACCTTTTAGGCCTCTAAAACAGGGTTAGACACAGGTTCTGTTTCTGCCGTATTGTGATATTTTTTAAAGTTGGGAAAAACATGAAATGTTTTTGGACGATAATTTTTTGAGGGATCCCTTACTTTATAGCAAGGATTATCACGATTTATCGTTGGTTTCCTATTCGAAGTAATTTTCTCTTTTAAAACGATGTTCTACAAATTGAAGAAGGCACATTGCTCTTGCAAGAATATGGCTATCGCATCCTCTTGTATATGATATTTTAGTAAATCAAATGAATATAATGCCTTGATGAATGATACCTTATTTTATTAACTAATTGATTTTTCTTCACTTATTTATTCTAAAGTAGTTGTTTTTAGTGGGCGGGATATATTGTCATGCGATAAGGGTTTGCACTATAATCTATGAGAAATTAAAATGTTTTTCACATTTTGGGCATGGCATACCGTACAACAGACTTCTACTTTTCTGCAACGATTTGCAAATGGTATTTGTATATTTTACTAAAAATCTTAGACCTTACGATAAAGGTTGTTTTAAATCGTACGTCGCTACGAAGGCTCAATGTTGAAGGACGTTGACAGATTGGTTAGGGGATAAAATACACCCAATCGGCCGATTACTGTGCGAAAAGGAAACCATCTTTGACACTCAAAGAAGGAATGTCTACTTTTAGCACCCGATCTGGAAACAAGCTATGAC